TCTGTGCATTCCACATCTCCCCTAATCTCTGTTCAGCCTCTTCACTCCTGTCCTAGCTGCACATTGTATCCAGAGTTGCTGTATCCAGAGTTCAGTATATGCTTTTATAGATTAGATAGATACCTGTGATTATTGTATATACAATTGCGTTGGAGTGAATTATTGTGATGGTGCTTTCCATGGTCCTCTGCTTTGTGCCCAAAGAATGATTATTGTATTTTTAAGCCCTGGGAGCCTGGGACCAGGTGGGGAGAGACTCCTTTCTCACTGCTGTCTTGGTTTACAAGACAGGTTTCTGTTAGGGAAGGCAGAAAAGCCTCCCTTGGAATGGAGAATGTAAACCCCCTCCCTCTGAGTTACGGGAGTTTTGAAATCAAGGGGCTCTCAGGCAAAGATATGGGAATAGGAAGAGCAGTTCTTTACTAGTGTGTATAATAAAGCAAAGAAACAGCAACAGCTACGGCACGAACAGCAAACAGAACAGGAACCCAGTCCCAGCCCTCCGGCCGCAGCACTTTCCCCTTTGGTGCAGTTTGGTGGTGGGGGAGATGTATAGGAAACTCTACGGCAATAGCTGGAACCTGTGGGATGTCCTGGCAGGGCAGGGGCATTCGGGGCCCAGCTGCAGAAGAAAGGCTTCCCGCTGGGTTATGGTGGTGGCAGCGAATTCAATTCTCCAAGCAGCAGGTCTGACTGTCCTCCGAAGCCCAGCAGATAGAGCGTACCCAACTACACAGTCCTCATCTTTTTTCCTGCCTCTATTCTTCTAGCACCGCCCTCCCCCCCCCACCACCCACAACAAAAAACCCAAAAAAAAACAAGAGTTCCTCCTCCCCACTATCTTAAGCACACAGCCATTAGTGCTTCTTAGAAACTAAATGGGAAAAAATTCCACAAGTAACAAGGAAAGAAAATTTAAAAACCCAGCCCCTAACAACTGTACTGGTGTCTAGCTGATTTGGTTTTCCTCAGCTCTTTCTGTGCACAGTGGTTTCCTGTTTGGCTGAAAAACTTTTTTGGGCCAGGTGTTAAAGATAGGTTAGAAATGATTGTAAAATAGTTGATAATTGGTAAGCTTATACTGTTAGTTTGGTTATGGTAAAAGGGGTTAAAAGGGTAGTTATGAGAAATACAGTACTCTATGTACCATAACAGACCTAAGCGAAGAGCACCACCCCCCAGACAAAACGAGCCAGCCTGGACAGAACTGTAATGGGCCAATCAAGTGCCTTAAACCTTAATGCAAACAAAGGGTCCAAAAAGAAACCAATCCAAAGGGACAAAAAACAGGATAAAAAGGGGCATCTGACTCACTGGAATGCGTGCTGCTCCACCTGGAACATCGGGGACATCGCTGCTCAAGAAGAGCCAGCACCGGCACCACAGCATCCTCGACAGGAACGCTCCTGCTCAGCCCGCGGGCCCCCTTGTTTTAGGCCTTTCTTTTTATTATAATAAATGCTGAAATAACTTTTAGTACCGGGAGTGTGGTCCCTTTTATAACACCAGGCAAACACAGGATTTTCCCCTTTCCTTGGTTCGGAGAAGCTGCAGCGGGGAGCCTCGCAGTGCCTGGGGCGAACTGAGCGGCTGCTTTGCCAGAGCCCGGGGGCTCCGTGCGGGCAGGAGCGGAGCGGCGCCGCTGCGAGCCGGGCCGAGCGAGAGAAAAACACCCGAGGCTTCAGCGCCGCTGCTTCACCTGCCGGGACCGTGCCCGCGGAGCCCAGCTGGGGAGTTCAACGCCCTGCGAGCCCCGGGCTTTCATCTCCTTCGGGATAGCCCCTGGTTGGTTTTTCCCCTGTCGTCAGCGGGGATTTCTCTGGCATTTTGGGTCTTTTGTCTAACGATGTGTGTGTGGGATAAGGTCTGACATTTTACTATCTAGCATTTATTTACCTCCCCCCCCCACCCTTGCCCTGTTGTCATTCTGTTTGTTAATAAACTGTTGGAGGTTTTTTTTTTTTTTTTCCACTTTCATCTATTTAAATTTTCGTTTCCTATTGGTGGAAAGGGATTATTAGAACCCTGTAGAGGGGACAACACTCACTTCACAGCGTCCTCTTTTACATTGTCTCTCAAACTGAGACACCCTACAAGTGCTTGGAATGTGGAATGAGCTTCAGCCAGAGCCCCCACCTGATCCAGCACCAGGAGATCCAAACCAAGGAACATCCCTGCTGGTGCTTGGAATATGGGAAGAACTTCATATGGAAGTCTGACCTGGTCACCCATCGCAGGATCCACCTCAGGGAACAGCCCTACAAGTTCTTGAAATGTGGGCAGAGCTTCAGCTAGAACTCCAACCACATGAAGGACCACAAGATCCACACCGGCACATGGCCCTGCGAGTGTGGGAAGTGTGGAAAGAACTTCAGCTAGAGCTCCAAGCTCGTCACCTGCCAGCGCATCCACACTTGGGAGAGGCCCTACGAGTGTCCCCAGTGTGGAAAGAGCTTTGTGCGCTGCTTCAGCTCCATCCCCCATGGGAGGATCCGCGTTGGATGATCCCCGGTGACCCTCGTTGGGCACAGCCCTGGTGATCCTTGGTCCTGGTTCCTGGTGATCCCCGTTGAATGGGGAGGAGTTGTTGGAGAGATTTCTTTCCCTTCTCCTTGTGTTGCTGTGGTTTGGTTGGTAAAATCACTCCCTGTGCCCAGGCTGGGTCTGTTGCCCCTGTGCTGGTTGTCGGGGCGTGATTGCTCCCGATTCTTCTTCCACCTCCCCCGCCTCTCCTCAGCCACTCAGAGAGGTACAGACAATATCGATTCAATCAGAGCGCACGGCGCTGGTGACTCCCCAGTTGCCGGGCGGTCCCGCAGCGCCCAGAGCTCCTCACCTGGCCTCCACCTGCGCCCCACCCTCGCCCCCAGCGCCCCCCGCCAGGGGAATTTGGAGAGGGAGGAGGTGTCAGACCCTGCCCGGCGCTGGCCATGGGGCGTGTGGCGGCAGCTGGGGCCCTGCTGGCGGCACTGGTGGTGCTGGGAGCCTCCTCAGGTACGGACGCGGAGCTCTCGGGTGAGCAGGAGGGGCGGAAAGGGAAGTGTTGGGAGGGTGGGAACGGTGGGGCGTGGAGGGACAAGGGGGAGGTGGGACCCTCAAAGTGATGTGGGGGGTGGTGCTGGTGACTGAGGAGTTATGGGAAAGGGGGAGGAAAATACGGAGAAGAGTGGAAAAGAGGAAGAGGGGCCGCGGGAAGAAAGAGCCTACGAAGGGTTGCACGTGGGGCACAAGGGGTACAGAGTGGGTGTCCGGGGTGGGCCTCTGAGCTCTTGGTTTTCTGCGGGGTGCTGGGGGCTGCTGGCAGGGCACCCTCTGACTTGTGTCCTGCACACACAGGAGTGTTCCAGGAGATGGTTAAGTCCGAATGTCACTTCATTAACGGCACCCAGCGGGTGAGGTTCGTGAAGAGGTTCATCTACAACCGGGAGCAGTACGTGCACTTCGACAGCGATGTGGGGTACTTTGTAGGGGACACCCCGTATGGGGAGCAGGTTGCCAGGCACTGGAACAGCGACCTGGAATGGATGGAGTACAGACGGGCTGCGGTGGACAGACATTGCCGGCACAACTACGAGTTGTCCACCTCGTTCCTCGTGGAGCGCAGAGGTGAGCGCGGGGCAGAGCGTGTCCCCTCGGGCCCTGCCCTGGCAATGACCCTGGAGCCCCTCAAAACTCCCCTGGGAATAACCCCAGACATGTCAGCCCTTCCTGTGCCCATCCCCGTGGCCTCTTTCTCACCCTGCAGTGCACCGGAGATCTCCCTATCTCTCCCAGTCCATCCCAGTCTCTCCCAGTGCCTCCCGGCT